GACTAGTGAGATTCCAAATACTTTGGACTAAGTAGGTATGAAAATATTACCATTTCAAATAAAAGAGGTTATTTTCATATAAATCTTTTTTGCAACCTTATGAACTTTTTTTACAGCTGAATTGGAAATCCATGATTATCACAGAAAAGAGAAACTGAGAAACTGACTACATTCAGGGATATATATATATCTTTGTAGAAGCATGTGATTTCTAATACTTCTGTTTTTATTAGTAGGAGCTCTGGCTATTAGCTCATTCCCTGTTGCCTTTTAAAATTGGTAAGTTAGTTTAGAAAAAGGTATGCACCTGAACAGCTTCTAGTGTTATTGAGCATAAATTGTAAAAAGTTGTTAACATACACAAAAACTCTGTATTATCATTGCAGATAATTTTTTCTGCTATTAAAACTTGGAGCCTTGGAAACAATAGTCATTTTAGGTTGCTTGCATTTCTGATTATGATGTGCTAACCTCACTGCATGGAATAAAGCTGTACTGCTGTGAACCTGGGCTTTTGGAAAGACAAGCTGCTATAAAGCTAAATCAAAATAAAATCTGTTTAAGTCATTCTTCAGTTTTAAGCATCTGCAGCTGTTAAGAAATCTTAACTTATTAGGTCACCTCTGCTTGTTAGTATTCCCTGGAGCTAGGATACATCCACAGTGTTGCCCTGAAGTGTGTTTGCTGTAGTAACTCCCCAGTCAGCACTGTTGCCCTGCAGTACTGTAGAACAATTTTGTTTATGCACCAGCCATGATGTTTTAAGGATTAGGAGAATCAAGTTGTGTTCTTGTTCTTCTGTCCTACCAGACCATGACTACTTGAAGTGCTGCTGTCAATACCTAAGCTTTGGCAGCAGTGCTCCCTCCCTCGCTGAAGATGAAGCATGTTGGCTACCATTTCATGCAAGTGAAAAAAAGTTTCTAACTGATTTGCTGCTATTCTAGTGAGGAATGAAGTGTGAGGTGTTAGGTAATTAGGTAAAACTAGCTAACTTATGTGGGAACTTTTTAAAATACACAGGGTGCAAAAAAAGGGATCTTCCTCTCCTTCCTCCCAGATTTTTTTTCTTTGTGATTAAAAGGATATAGTTCCAAAGAGCTTGAGGTAAGTGAAAATTTGGTATGGTTTCTGGTGGGTGAAGTGAGATGTGTGTGGGAGATGTTGTTAGGATAAAACTAGGGCTAAAATGGCTGGTCTCCATCCTGCCTTGGTGGGGAAGGTGCCATGGAGGGCATCAGAGGATCATCATCCTCAGTAAAAAAGCCAGGATCTAAAAAACTGTACCTGTAAAGCAATTTAGTCATCCCAGAAGGAAGTATGAATTAAAAATAGCAAGAGTGAGTTGTTGCAATTCCTACTAAGATTGTAATAAGAGCAGGACATCTATGTAGAGATGCTGCAGTGCAATACAATGGCTTTGTACAGTTGTGGCTCATTAACTTTGAAAAGTATGTGAGGTCTTCATTAGCTATTGAGCCACTGTCAAATTTTCTTTGATCAGTTTTGTCCAGTTGCCTTTTGAGCCAACACACCTACCAGCCATAGTGCTTCATGTTCTTGCAATGGGAAGAATTGCCTCATCTTTATATTTGGGCTCATCAGCTGAGAGTTTTATTTAACACCCACTGACCTAAAGACAAAACTGCTTCTGATATTCATGGTCACATAGAGGCCCAGCCCATTCCCTCCCCTTGCTGTTGCTCCTCTTATAGGAAAAGCTTTCTTCCTGTACAGCATTTGGGATTAAAATAATGATCTTAAATATTCAACACATTTTCAGATTTCCTTCTTTCACCTGCAAAATTGCTGTATCACTAATTTCTCCACAGGGATGTGTTGGCAGGACGGTTAAAAGAAAAGGCAAACCACTAAGTGTTCTTTTCAGCTTGAATTTTGAGACTCCAAGCAAAGTACTTCTGGTTTAGAAAAAACCCACAGTAATGGAACGACATAATTTGAGTAGTTTAATGATACTACCTCATACTGAGCAAGTAACAAAACAACTGTTAAGTTACTAATCAATGACCTCAGCATTTTAAAAGATTAGAATAACTTTTTGAAGTGGTTTGTTATTGAAAACATAAAAACTTCAAGAGATTAACACAGTTGGATTCTGCTGCAGAGGCCTCTGTGCTGCTTCCATAGGCAACAGGAAAGTAGCTGTTTCCAACATAACTGATTTTCTCTAATCACAATAGCCAGGAATTCTGTTTCTGCCCACCTCCCTTCTTAACCTGCATTCACTTTTTCTATCCTGCCCTCTAATCCTATGAGAACTGCCTGTTACTTACACATCATGATGTTGGAATACAGATCTTTGTTAAAGAAATTATAAAATTACTCAGCACCAAACTAAAGCATCAATCTTTATAAATAAAGTAAATTAGAAAACAGATAAGGTAAACTTAGTTAATTTGAGCATCTGAATTGAATTGAGTTGAATTGAGCATTTTTATTGAATATATAGATACCATAAATCAAAAATTGTGTTGGTCAATGTGTTTATTGAAGTAATAGAGCAATTATTACATTGATTAGTTTTACAAACCACTGATTGGAGTATTTTAAAACATCAAATTCTCCCTACCTTGCAACAAAAACATTCAAAAAATTACTACCTTTCATATTAGTTAACAAGTTTGTTAGTTTACTCCAAGCAGATGCATTGCTTCCGGGCTTTATGAAGGCCAGTGATAATTTTGAATGGATACTTCCAATTATTAAATTATCAGAGACAGTAAAAGATTAACTTTCTTTAATGCCCTCATTTTATGCTGGCTCTGACCATTCAGTAACAGTAGTGGTGTTACATGAGGCAACTATGCAGATGTAAACGTGAAAAATCTCACAAAAAGATCAGAAACTTCTTATTGCTTTGTCAGGAGAACAACCACAAGAGCCCTGGAGAAGCCGTTGGCAGTGCAAGACTTCATATAATTCTCTTTTAGGGAAAAGGTAAATGGGAAACATGCTCAGGACATTGCTGTCTTCTGGCTGGTCAGGGGTTTGTACACCCCCACATAGAATATTTTCAAGATAATTTACTATGTCTGGTCTGGGCCAAACTATAAAGCAGCTCCTTATGAACTCCCTCACATAATCACTTAACCAGCTCTCACCATCCTCCAGATTAAGCTTCCTACCTCCTACCCTCATCTCTGTAGGGTAGGATTAGGGAAAAAAAACAACCAAAACCCAACACGCACTTAACCTTGTCAGGTCAAACTGTTCATTATTTAAAACATTTGGTACTAAAAAGCTGAACTTCTCTACTGGCTCAAGTAAGTGTAAAAAAATGTATGTGCACTCTTGGTATGGCTGACACATAGCCAGAAATACTAAATTCAAACAACCCTCTAGCAGTAATTTTTAACTGCTACGCTAAAAGGTTTTCCTTCAAAACCCCCAAAACCCATACCCAAAGTGAATTACATATGCTGAAAAGATTCAGAGTTCAAATAAAAAGACATTTGATTACAGTGCACAGTGAGCCACACATTAGTCATGTTTAAAACACGAGGACACTTGCCTGACAGGTAGTACATTGAAACATTTCAAAGACCAGCTCCTTGCCCTAGAGGGAGAAGGCAGGAGGCAGAAAAAGAACACAGTAGCTAAGGGCAAGCAGGAGATTAGTTGAGGATCAAGAGCTATCAAATTGGATAGATGTAGTGTATGAGATTAAATGAAAAAAGCTGAGGTGTCGAATTTCTACTGCAGATAAAAAACCACGGTAAAACCAACTATTGCAATCTTCACATTATATAGTGCAATCTCAGATGTCAATAACAAGCTAGTATCTCCAAACAAAATAATATATATTAAGACAAAACAAATTTTATCAGGAACTAATAGTGTCAAAGCATAATTTTCACTACAAAACTAGGTTAAAAATCTAGCTTCCACCAGGTAAACACATTATTCAGCTATATAATGTGTACACCCAGCATCTACAATAATACGCAGTGAACAAGATGTGCAAGTCCCACAAAGCTTTAAAAAAAAACACAATAAACTCAACCACAAAGCTCGGCATAGAAGACACTAAAAAGCAAGTCCCTACTGGGGAATATAATCTATCCACTAGTATTGGCCTCATTACAGTATTTTAAATATTTAAGGTCATCCAATACTTAATTTCCACATCTAATTCTCATTTAATCCACTTATTAAAATAATCTATTTTTCCTCTTCCTATTAAACACATTACTCATGGTTCAATCAAGTTTAGACTATTCTGGCTGATTTTACTCTTTTGGAGAAGGGGAAAAAAACCCCACAAAACAAAATCTTAACCAGGTGCTGGCAGCAGTTATTCAAGACCTAGCTGGATTTTGTTACAGATTTAAGTTGCTATTAAAGTTCAAACATATCTGAAAACTAATTTTCAGAATACTTCGAAAGTTAAAATTGCAGTTGATACTGCAAATGGACTACACTCTCAAGAATAACCATTATGAAGCAGGTCTATTCCAATTTTTCCTAAATTTACAGTTTTAATCTAAGTGCACAGATAATCAATTATATATTAGAAACTTCAAGCATATTGCTTTGAAAGCAGCTCCATAATCTATTAAGTATACTAACTCATGCACTTTAATAACCATTTACTTGGTCATTCAGTACTTAGTATGTAAGCCTTACAAGTGGTATAGAAGTCTGGAAAAGCTATAGTGGTTTGATGTCAGATTTCTTTAAAATTCAATTCTACAACATTATTCATAAATTTGAAATTACCGTGCTTTTGCATGGAAAAATATCCAGGTATTTATTGAACACATTATATGATGGATAACTGAATTTAGTTTATCCTTTCTATTAAACAAAACAACTCAACAATGTATCATGTCAAAACCAGAAGAAAAGCTTCTGTTGTGCTACTGTCCATAAGAGCTACAAGGAAAAATGTATGTGGGACAATGCTATATACAGTCTTTCATCTCTCCTCACACAGTAACTCTTGGGGGTTACCTCAACAGTACCTGTTGGGGGTTAACTCAATAGGCTACTCAGAAGAATACAGGTTTGTTTTCTAGCCATACAGCTGTAACTTGGAGAATACAGGGGCTTAACAGTCTTACATTTGCAAGGTTTATGATCACAGATACAGCTATTAAAATATGCATTCTAGTTTAAAATAAAGGTGCACTAGCTTAGTTTTCCTCTTCTAGATTTAAAATAACTAGCTCTTCCACATGTTGTAAAACATGGCCAACAGAAATATGATCATGTAACAATATAAAAAGTCTTGAGGTCAGAAGAGTAAAAAGAGCTTTTTTTTCCCTAGCATCTATAAATGGAATGATTTCAGTTCATTACCAAAAGCAACAATTTCATTTCTTACTGTAATACTTTATAACAAACACAACAGTTTCTAGTCACTAGGTGTTTCAGTCTCTGCTGGACCTCTAATCAATCTTCGTGTTCCCCTCTTCCCTGCAGGGCCTTTTGGTTTAGCAAAATTTTGTTTGTGAGCATGTTGTTTTGGATGAACCTCTTCATAAAGGAAGTCAGCAGTTAACTCATCACCATTATCTATTTCAATCTGTGAAAAAAAAAAGTTTATAATGTTAATCCTAAAGCCGTATTTAAAAACATTTGCTAAAGTTCTGAATACCGTATTAAAACCATATGTGCAATAAAGTTCAGAGTCTAGCACAAAATGTTCTCCAACTTGTGCCTAATCTTCTCAACAATCTCGGATGGTTTTTCTGAGAATCCACTATAATCTTACCAGTATTACTAACTAGGAGTACACACTCCATTTCAGAACTACAATCTCCTTTCTTTATTCTCCTCTCTAAAATAAAAACTTGATATGTCCTAATGTAATCTCTAAATTTTAAGAATCTATTTCACTAGAAAGAGCTTTAAACACCAATAATAAAAGCAATTTGCATACATATTATTGTCTCTAGAGACAGAAGGGGAGGAGTACAAACAGCTGATATGATTAGCTGGCCACTGCAACTCATCATGTATTCAAGCCAGGAAAAGCTAAAATAAATTTAATGAAGACACAAAAAGGGATGCTTTTTTTTTGTTGTTTTAAAATTTAAGCATATAAGCCTGAATGCAAAGAAAATACTCTTCCCAGGGCAAACACCATTGTTTTGAATTGCAGGAATTTAGAATCCAGAGAAATGCTTTGGCCCTGCTCTGCTGAACATTCAGCACTTCATAGCCTGCCAACCATAGCACTTGATGGACTTGCCAGCCACGGTATTGCTGTTACAAGTGCATGCTTCAGAAATATGTCTACAAGAGTCATATTATGCATTTATTTCATTGTAGAAAGGAAATTTCTGATAAATAATTACAGATAAAAACACATAGTGATAATCTACTTAAGTCATGTCAACACAGTAAAAATGGTTAGTATTAACTCTGCTACTTTTTGGGTAGACATAATCCTCACAGAAACCAAGCCTCAAAGTCCTTCTAAATTTACAGCTCAAACATTAAGAAAATAACTGTTGGTCACACGCTCCAGAAATGGACCCTTCCCATGGGCTCTGCTCTGGTGTTGAGAAACAACTTACTCTTCAGGCACAGTAGTCAAATCTATACAATGTGAAAAGATCAGCTCACTTGCAAATCCACATTTGCCCCGTGGCAAGACTCCTAAGATAGCAGCTTAAGTTCAATAACTGCAGCTTGAAATAATTTTGAAAATCTTTAAGTAACCTTGGCTTTAAAGGAATTCTATGTTCAGCAACAGCAATGTGTTGTGGTCCAAAATATGACAGGCCTTCTAATAAGATATAATGTTACTACAAAATAGTCCTTCAAAGTACTCTCCAATACTCACTTGATGCACAAGGATACATTTATTAAAGCTGTGAAAGTGTAGAAATTATGAAGCAGATAAAGGTTTCCACAACTTAACTTTGTATCTGAAGCTTTATCAACAAGTATTTCTTGTTCTGGACAAACTTTAATAGTTGTAGTTAATAGTTATACAACACTTCCCCTTATTTACAGAAGGTGGTGGCAGAGGCAGTTACAGTTAGATATTAAGAAGGGAACAGAGGGATAGAGAAAATACCAGTATACCCAGTGTGACTCACCTTTCTAATGATCTGCATCCACAACTGTCTTTCTACAATTTCTAACAGTGGACTTTTGCAACTAGAGTAGAGCATTCGTTCTCGTATACTGCAGGTATAGCCTGGCATCGAGTAGATGAAAACTGCAGGAAAAAAACAACCCACAAATCAGACCATAACTACACTCCATCAAAACCTGTATTATAATATCACTTACAGCAGAGAGGCATTGCAAGCCAACTATGCAGTCTGAAAGGGAAAATGTAACACCAGTCAGGATCTTTTTTGCTACAGCAAGAGTTTCACATCGAATGGGGAATCAGAGAATGGCCACTATATTTATGTTTTCAAATGATGACTGATTTATAGATGTTCATAATCAAAAGGGATAGCTCACTGCTTTGTAAACATAAGGACTCCTCTGAAGTCAGTTTGACAATCAAATGACTCTGAAATTTATGCTCATGCTGACAAGCAGATGTATTTTCTCATACCTATGGATTCCAAATAGTCTCCTTCATGGGCATGTTTATACAGGAAAAAGTGGTAACGTGCAGCATCCTTTGGAATTCTTTTTGGCAAGTCCTTAAGTTCCGTATGAAGTGTGTTGGCCAAAATAATAACTTCATTTTTCATATCAATTTGCTGTTAACAAAAGAAACCTGAATATAGTTAATAGAAAGCAAACCAGAGAACATGACAGGATGAAAAAAAAACAAACCAGTTAATCCAATATGGCATGGTAATTTATCAGTGTACATCATCTACACACATTGCTTAATGTGTGGATAATCTATTTCATACTCACTACTAAAGAACAGTTAAAGTATTTTATACTTGCCAGTTGTACATAATTCAGATTCTTATTTTTCAGTTTCTCCAAAGCCTGAATAGCTTCTTTAGCTATGGGGAATGCTACTCCTTGCAATGTTTGATGCTTGGTATCTACACCAACATCCGTCTGTACCTGGAACACAAATCAAACGAGATGTAAGCAGATACCTTTGCAGGCATTTGTTTGGTTTCTTATAGTAACTGACAATATGTTGCATATGGTGACACACAGAGTAAATTAGCTATTCCAAGAATAAACTACCCTAAAATATGATCCTCATATATATAACGGATTTGTATTTTTTAATTTACAGGTCATGTTTGCTTGCTTACATGAAAACAGTTTAATATCTCTGAAATAGCTGGCTTTGCAGAGCCTACAGAATGATCAAAGAAGTAAAACTGGCTCAAGTGTCATTAAAGAAGTTAAATTCTGGTATGAAGATACACTAAGCCAGGAGGAAAGAGCTTGGTTTTCATATTCTGTGTTACACTTTTGAACTGACAATATTGCTTATGAACCTTATTGTATCTTGAAAAAAAAAATATTACATCAAAACATACAAATATAATCTCTAGGCAATCAAAATTTTCAGAGGAAGAGAGAAGAATTGTATCTTATAAGACAAACTGATCTTCTTGAAGGAAAAGCAAAGCAACTTCCCTCCTTCCTGCTTTAATACCCTACCCAGCCACAGCCTATCCCAAAAGGAAAGCAAACACAACAAACAAAATCTTATTTTTTGACTTGTAGGATGTCTAATACGAAGTAAAAAAAATCCAAGGTAAATGCAAGCTCAACAACTGTTCATAACCCAGAAATTATTTGAGAGGAAACAAGAGTTATTTCAAAGGCATTTTTAAAAGAATTTCTGTTAGTCTTAACATTCATGCAGTTTCTTTCAAAATGAGCTCTGGCCTCCAGTTTTCTCACATCTGTACTTAACATCTCAGTATTAGCTTTTGAATATATTGACTTATTTTTAAAATTTCATAATCACTTTTAACATTAGTGATGAAGCAGCAAAGGTCAGAAAAGTGTATAAAATGGAAAGTATGGGTCTTAGATCTATCAGATAGACGATGTTCAGCTTTAATTAAAAAGAGATTATCATGAAATATGGAACAAATAGATAAAAAAAATGAAAGATGCTTGGGGCAACAGTAAATTATCCTCCACGTTTTAAGAACAGCTTATCAGCAACAAGGAAAGAGAAGAAGAAAGCAAGCGGAAGAGCTTGCTTTTATATAAAGATTGATAAATGTATGAAGCAGGTCACATAAAAATATTTGCAAAATATATATGCACAAAAGCCTTATTACTATACATAAAACAGGCATCAGAAAAATAGTAAAACATAACAAAATACCATACTGTATAAACTATATTAAAGTAGAAGTAGGAAAAAAACCTCAAACAACAAACAGCTGTGAAGTTTGGGGACAGGTAAGAGAAGAAGTTAACCCAACATAACTCAAGATTTAAGAAAATTAACAAAATGTACTTGTCCATATGGCAACACATTTCAGACCATTAAAGCAAACGAAAAACACCTAAGTAACTTAAAAATATCTAAATTCACACCATAAGATTTGCTAGTGATGTCTGCTGAGTGGTGGATAAAATGGCAGATGAAATCTCCTGTGAATAATTCTGAAGTAATGTATGCAGAAGAAAAAAGAAATCAACACTCTCTTCTACCTGTATGGTGCTGGGGTTGAGCTAGCTACTACCATTCAGGAGCAAGACTTTGCAGGTCACACTGAGTATCTCTGAAAATATCATCTCAGTGGTCAGCCTTGGAAAAAACCCCAAAACCCAAACAAAACAAATAAAAAACAACGAAAACTCCCCACCCACAAATTAAATGTTACAAATTGCTACACAAAGAGTGGAGAACAGAACACATCATTAGGCACTATAGGTGTCAGTAACATGCTTGCATCTTCAATACCACATGCAGTTCTGCCTTCCCTATCCCTCCATCTCCTATGTTATATAGCAGAGCTGGAAAAACTGCAGAAAAAAGCAAAAGGATCAGAAGTATGGAGTGTTTTTTTTAGGAGGAAGAACTACCTAGATTAGGACTTGACAGCCTAGAAGAAAGAACTGATAAGGAACACAAAGTTCATGGATATAGAATGATAATATAGTTTGGGTTGAAAGGAACCTTTAAAGATCGTCTAGTCCAACCCCCCTGTAGCGAGCAGGGACATCTTCAACTAGATCAGATTGCTCAAAGCCCCATCCAACTTGATTCTGAATGTTTCCAGGGATGGGGCATCTACCACCTCTCTGGACAACCTGTTCCAGTGCAACAACACAGTTGCAGTAAAAGCTTGGTAAAGTGGAAACATTAGAGAAGATAAAGAGCTGCATTTCACATGTTAGTTTGCTGGCATCCAGATGCAGAAACAAACAATATTTCAAACACATTTACCATGGCTGTAAAATACAAGCCTGAAAAACTAATGAGATCAGCACATGACCTATATTAATACATATCTGAACATAAACACTAATCAAGTGAAGGAAAAATGTAAGAAAAGAATCCCCTGAAACTTTTAAGCCATTAGCTAGCAGGCAATCCTCAAATTATTTGGTTAAAGGCTTTTGTTAAGAGTTTTTTCTGTAAAGTGTTTGTAGCAAAAGCAAATCAGTCTCTTAAAAGGACTAGCTACTTGGTTTGGACTTCTATTTTATTTTTATTGGAATTCCATTCACTTCCTCTCACTGGTAAAAACAAATGCACTGGTGCTGGAAGGTAATTATATTTCCTCTAGGGATAAGGCTGCTGAAATACTCCTGGCAATAATTCACTGCAACAGTTGTTATTTTGTGTTTTCTCTACAATTCTCTACAATTTCTGCCACCGTTGAAGTTGGAAGGCATCTCTGGAAGTGATCTCGCCCAACCACCCTGCTCTAGAGGGCCCAGCTAGAGGCAGCTGCTCAGCTGTCTCTCCAGACAGCTTTTGAACATCTCCAAGATGGAGACTCCCCAGGTTAAGAGCCAAGTTGGAACAGTTAAGCTCTGCAATCATAAGGTGTCTGACTCGGATCCTAGGCCTTGCAAACTCAGCAAGATCATTCCACTTCAACTCCTGCCAGCATCATCCTGCACTCTCAAGTCACTGAGAGATAAATTTATATTCTCATCCACCCAAACCTTCTGAAACTTTCCATTTTCCTTTCCTCCTTTTCTACCCTAGAAAGACACACTCAAAGACATTGTAGGTACCTCATTAATCTTAATTTGTCGAAGTTCTTCTTCTGCTGCAGTGAGAGGCGCAGGGGAGGACTGCGATATCAAATATTTTTTATATCCATTCAGTGAAACATCATCCTGAAAACACAATATCAATATTGATCATTTTTTATAATAAACGCTGTCTTCAAAGATGCTCTACGCAGCATAAAAAAGCAATTACTTCCCATAAAGTTATAGTAATTTTATTGGAAAATCCATTCAGAATTACAAGTGTAAGTGCATTAGCAAGTTCAGCTCATCTTCCTGTACAGCAGGATCCACTTGGCTGCTCTTGTACCCAACTGTACCATGAGCAGCATTTCCACCATCAGTCCTTAATGACCTCGCTAATACAAAAATTAGCACTAATGAAGACTGCATGAGTGAAGTTATTCAGCTGTTTTGGACAAAACCTCACAAAATCGCCACAATTCTAATAAACAAACAAACAAACAAATAAATAATTCTATTTCTTATTAAGTGTGCATGCTGAGACTGGAGACTCATTAGCTGTTTTCTACCTAAATAAATGGGAGATACAAATGCCACGTTAGGAAAATGAGTAGGCACATGATACTGCAAATAGCTTAGGATGCAACATCAGAGAAGTGATGATTTCTGATAACCACTCTGGGGAATCTGACAACATTCAGTTTCAGTTCTGACCCTCCCCAAAGAGGTTGATACCAGAGGCAAACACTGTTGTATTTTATAATTAAGCTGGTCACTTAGAAGAGAACCTTATGCAATCATGTGATTTTTATACTCAAGTTCTAAAGAGAAACAGAAAGCTCCTTCTTAGCTCTTCCCTTTCTGAAAGAGACAGATCTTCCCAAACACAATTTCCAGTGGAAATATTCCATTATGTCTTGTTTCAGAAACCCAGTGGTACTGAGGTTAATACATGTGAAGTAGCAGATGGGACCATAACCAGGTTCCACCAGGATAACAGAGCTAGTTGCAACTAAACCATCCTTCTGTCTAACAAAATAAAGACAGAGTAACTCAAGATTCTAAGTGAGGTTTGCAACTTGATACTTGGAAGAAGCTGTGATTTTCACACAGATGAACATTAAGAGGCCAGCTACAATTAAGGAGCTTAAAAGACACTAAAACAAAGAATTTAGAGATATACTAAGCTGTAACATAATGAACCTGGAAAAAGTGAGTTATGTTGATTTCATCCTTTGAGTGCCCTAAATACATTCTGAAATTCTAGTAATAGACAAATGCAATGCTCCTTCCTTACAATGGAGATGTAAGCTCAGACTTGCATCTAGTCTTAAAACTCAGAGCCCAAATTCTACAATTACACAGACTGTTAATGGTTTGGTGCAAGTGGCATTGAGAGATTAGTTAACTGAACAGGCAAGAAAATAATAAGATGATCTCTATCACTAAACTCTCTTAGCAACTCAATCATATGCTTCTCTAGAATAAAGCCTCTCCAGAGATGTTTGTTACTGTGTTTGTTAGGATAATGGAGCCTCCATCACAGGTTAATGCTGAATATAACAAATGATTTATTTGGTGAACAGCAGAATTATTAGCCCCATGTCTTTATGGACTTGTCTGTCTACCACAACAGCCCACACCTCTTCCACAATTTTTTCCCCACTACAATATCCTTTATTCTTCCCCAAATCTCCAACTCCTTCCGTTCTTTTAGCATCAGCCCCCTGTGTCACTAGTGGTGGTGCTTTGATTCAGATTTGTGCATATGATGAACTAATTAACAGGCCACACAGAAGGTAACTGCTGCAATCTCTGTCTTTGCGGAAGGTGGAAAAAGGAAATGATCATTTGGATTGCTAAGTAATCATCCATTTTCATGAAAGCTATAGGAATCATAGAACTTTGAAAATTGTAACTTGTATTTCTTTAAAACTGGAAATGGATTAAATAGTCAAGACTGACTGGTGCCTGCCTGACAAACAGGCTGACTTCATATCCATGAAAGACCTATTCCCCAAAGAAATCAAAGTAACACAGTAGCCTCATATTTCCTTACATACACAGCAGTTGCAGGCTTTTCAACATTCCTTAGAAGCTTGTTAGCTTTCATACATGCACCTGGCAATTATCTTACCAGATTTAACAGCCAACTATTAGTATTTTCATTGAACAAATCAGGAGCTACTAAAATTCTGTTTCTGTAAATTAAAACGGCAGCCATGGACTTGAGTTACATTTGATGGTAAAAGTCTAAAGAACTGACAGCTTAATTATCTTGGTTTATGATAAAAGCATTTGTTTTTCAGATGTTAACAGCATGCAATTAGCTGCTCTAGCCCACTTCTGTTTCATAGGCATACTTAGAATACAGCTTGGGTATACCATTAGCCTTAAAGTTACCATGTTACAGCTTTTTGAGGATTCACGTGCATGCAGTGAGATTAAGAGAGGCTCCTATTGTTCCCAGATTATTTAGGTTTTGTGGTAATTTGAAGCAAGTACTTCTTAGCCTATAATTGTTAAATATACTTAACTTTTTCAAATGAGAGAATTTCCACAATTACTTTTTAACACTGCAGTAATATGCATGGCTTTTAACTCTTTTTTTCCTTAATCAAAAAAGAGCAGAAACACCACAAATTCATGCCAGTATCCAGCTACTATATTTAGTATTTAATGTCAGTGTGCTAACTTTAAAAATAAAAACATACCTGTACTGTTCCAAATACTTCATCCTTAATATGACCACCTCCAAATTCTTTCTTAAGTGTTGCTCGGGTTGCTGCATACAACATTTTTTGACGAACCTAGCATATAATAAAATAGTGTTGGTTTGATTTGGGTGGGTTTTTTTAACTTGGTGTACAGAGAGAATCTAACATATTGGTGTTCCAAGTCCACTGACAAACACTTTTCTTGAACAAATATTTTAAGTGTCGAAACTGCACTTGAAGTTTTAATTCTACAGAAGTTGTAACTATTAATAAAGAATAAACTCCATGGAATGTGCTCTGCATCACAATACAAACACATGCTATTAAATTCTCAAGGGCATGACACAATGCATTATTATCAAAGTAATTCCAAAACTAAATTGCAGCTTTAGTAAGAGCTTTTTTTAATATGAGCTTTTCTTTAAATGGAAAAATATGTCAACAGAATCTTTACTAATTTGAAATGGGAAAACCCACAACTGTTTAGATCTTTTGTCACTGGTCTGCGTACTAATGGATAAAAGAGAGAAAGAGCAGACTGCAAGTATCTCATTATTATTTTTATTTGACAGTGACTCCAGATAATTTTGGTTCAACTACAGACTGGAAAAATTAAATTTCCTGGGGGTAGATCTAATCATGCTTGCTCCCTATCAACTTGTGTTTAACACAGTCACTTACTGCTCTCACAACAGTCCCATCTTCCCAACTTATTTCACTGTCATGCCATGCTCACCACAATACCTCACTTTTTCCACCTAATGTCTTCTAGGCACTCCAACTCTTGGACTCTTACTATTTCCTAACTGCTAGTGCAAGTAATAGAAATATGGGAATAGCTTTACTTGCTCTCTTCCCTTATCTCACATTCCCAGAACCTGAACATAGTATCTTAGTTTCTCCTAGAAATCCTTACCTCTTACCTCAGTTTCCTCCCCTGTTCTTTAACTACTAAGAAACAGTATATTCTGTGGCCAGTCACACGAGTGCCAGCTGGGCAGCCAGCAAACCAAACAGAACAAATGGCTTGAGCTCTCACTGTAATCCTTCTCTTTGTGACAACACCCACTGAGATTTTTGTCCCATATCCTTCCTTCCATGATTCATTTTAATGAAACACTGGCAGAAAGACAACTCGGCAAAAAACAATCTTGCCTCCTCCAGTCCAGCTAGAAATATGAAGGATCAGCTGCACTCTAGACCCACTGATATTGCTTCTCAATCAGCTTCAAGGTGTTTTCCCAGTTTTCCTGGAGGAAAGTGAGGGAAAAGTTGGGGAATGCTTCATTCCTCAAATCCTTCATTACTAGGATTCAGATTGAAAGGCACTGTTGAAAAATCATTAACAGCATGAAGCCTCTGATGACTGTTACTTACAGGAGAGTGATCAGGTGACCATGCAATGAAGATCCATTCATATCCTTGAGCATTCTGAGAATCTAATCTGTATAATATATAACATGGTTGCTTGTCTTCAAGAAGGGGAAGGACAAAGGAATCATAATCCTTTTCCCATGATCCAACTGGCCGCATAGATGATCCCACAATAAGCTGCTCTATAACCAATAACCAAAGCTACAGGTTAACAACGATACAGTTAATACCAGTTTTCAAAATAGCAATTACAATAAACAGTTAATCACACACTTAATCTTTCATAATTACATCCACAGGAATGGAAGTCAAGGTCAGTGTGAAAGCAGGTGAATTCCTACAAAAACTGTGTATGTTCACACTCTTAACTTACTTTAACCCAAATACAAATAGTTAAGAAGTAATGTGTTGGTTGTCATCAAGTTCGTTGATCTGAAGGGACAAGACTGATGTGCTTTTAGTGTAAAGTACACAAGAAGGGAAACAAGACTGTCTTTTGCTAGTTAGTTTACTTTTAAATTGAAATACTTAAGTAGAAAAAAGATGAGAGTAAGCTTCTACATTTTAGAATTATCAGTGCTGTTGCTATAACGTATTAGTGTTTGTACTCATTGTAAGGAGTCAATAACTCAGTTACAGAGAAGAGAGTTAGGAAATAATGGTTGTACTAATCACTTTTACTTGACTGTGGGGTTAGATAAACTTCTTTCTAACACAGCTCCATAACTATGCTCTTTTTAAATGACTGAAGTTGCTGATTATGTATAATTGGCTTAAGTCTGTATAGAATACTTCAGATGAGATTTAATTATGTGAACAGCTGTAGCAACAAGATTTTTCTCTTATTTATAAATCACATCTCAGCTTCCAAAGGAAAAAATTAACACAGTATCTTTCAAAACATTTTTCAGCTTCTCAATAAATAATATCCCCCACTACCAAAACAGAAATACCTAGTTTAAATGGAATCTGACAAAAGTTTGAGGATCATCATACTCCTTTTAGAGAACCTAATTTTTAAATCTTCAGACAAAAGTACAACAATATACAAATGCCTCCACGGCAAACTTTCAGAGCAATGCATTCTGTCACAGTAAGTCCCAGAACATGAAGAGCTCAGGGAGAAGGTGTCCGTTCCTTCTCTGAAGTAGGTACAAAGTAGCTGAAGTTGTACACCTAGACTAAAGTATTCGGAACAAACTTGCCAAGTCTGAACTCTACATGGCTTTATGCTGCTTGGATTTTAGATAGAAAAACGCAATCAAATGAACTCTACTGCCCAGTAGGAAACCTCTTCTCTTGCTAACTCAGATTAGCAGAACTCAGTTTGACTATTTGTTGACTAAGGACAGTTGCTGAAAGCTCCTGCAGACAGATGAGGCAACTGTCCCTCCCTCAGTATTCTGTAAGTTTCAGAGGTTGTTTTCTGAACTGTCGAAAGTAGTATCAGACTGGATTCTGTTCCTACTTACAGACAAAATGCATATATATACACACACAAACAAATATACATACATACAGACACATACAAAATCGGAAATGTCTTCCATTTGTATCTTATTTCTAGGCTTCACTTCATATTAACAAGTAGCACACACACAAAAGCATATTGTTTCACCTTGCCTAAAAGGGAAAAAAAATATGGTATGCTGGAATTTGTTACCTTGTGCTAGTGAGACTTTACCACAGTGACCTGCCCATAACATTACTATTGCCACTTCCTTAAGGAAATCAATATTAGACTTCCTAAGAAAAGTAAACACTAAGAAGGTAATGGTAGGTTATTTACCTAACTACAAAATTATGTATGTGTATATACATGTACATACAGGTTATCTTCCTCCAGCTAACAAGTATTTCAGGGTACTGTAAATGCATGAACTCTACAAAGAACAAAAAAGGCAAGGTGGACATTTGACATACTGGAAAAGACAGACTAAATTATGAAATGTCTTACACAGTCAACCAGCATTGCTATTAAAAAAACAAACAAACAAACAAGCATCTAAAAACCTATGCATTCTGTCTTGCAATCTTTGTAGTCTTGATCACTTGCCAAGAAGTTCAAAGATTAAACTCAAGTTCTGCAAGACATGATGTAATTTTATATTATACATATAACTGAGATTTAAGGAATGGTTTTAGCTTTGAAAATTCATACAAAGTTACAGATTTTTAAAGATATTTTCTATGCAGCCAGACTACAATTTAAGTATCTGCTTTGATAGGACTTTCTACATGCAGCTGATCCCAGTATAAAAAGCAGATAACATTTATACTTGATCTAGAGCGATTAGCTCCTGTGTAAGAATCTGTCTAATTAATGTAACCAAAGCACCGAAAAACTACACAGGTGTAGAATTTTTTTTTCCACTACTGTTTCTTAAGTAAGAAGAGTAAGCTCATTTGTAATGTCCACATAAAATACCTGGCAGTTCTTGGTAAAATATGAAGTTACATTTGGAATAAAAATTGAAATGCAAAAACACAGTAGCATCATATTGAAAATCTTAGCATCACCAAAACTTCTAACTTACCTTCTGTACATGCAAGACCCTAGTAACATTAAGTTTTGCAGTTCTGTTTTTTAAACAATTGAACATGTAGATCACTAAAACAACAAGGAAAACATCTAAGAGAATCAGAAAAAAAAAGATTAAAAATTGACTAACCATTGTCAATGACTATTTTTAAAAGCCTGTATTGTCCATTTCTGGCTCCAACAAAGATGTCTTTAACACTTCCACTTGCTGAAAAAAAGAGAAAATAAAAGTAACCAAATTAACACATTTCACTTTCCGGAGACAAAGAATATTCAGGAAGGCAAGAACAACACTGGAAAAGTGTGCAACTGGCCCTTCATTAAAAAGTTGGCCTGAAAAAGGAACATGTGAGTGGTTTTCCCTCTATGCCGCATGCTATTCCAGCCACCAGCATGCCACAGAGGACAGGCAACACTACACAAAAGTCCTGATTTCTAGCATACCATATGATTTTTGACATAGTGAAAATTAAAGATGACAACACATCATGGCTCTCTGGTTTCACAGTAAACACAGCAACACAATAAAAATATGACACATCACAAATCACAATAGATTTGTGAAGTCAACGGTCTTGGTACAAACTTTCAGACAGAAACTTCATACCTGCCAGGAAAATGTTAGAGCTCGTCTGGCAAAAGTGCTGGTCTTTCCTGGGGACACAGCGCTGAAAAGTATCAGTGAAGGCTGCCAGCCATTGCTCATCTTTTGTATCACCTTATCTCCTCGTGCTTATCTTGATGACATTGTTCAAACCCCGACCTATTGCAACAGGATAGCTCTACAATTAATTCACAAAGAAGCAACTAAAAATACTTTTAAGTGTCCATAATTGACATTGACACTACACTGCAAACATTATAGACTCACTTCCCTGAGCACACTGAAGAACTGTGCTTGAGTCATGTGAAGATTATTCTTATCTCGACTGCTCTGCTAAGCAATCTGAGTGCAAATCAGTTTAATTATGCTGTAGCCAGGGGGTTGTACAGCATTTATTGAAGATCACTTATTGCAAGCTGGTCCTTTAAGTAATCCCACAGCATATAGCATAGCACCAGCAAAACAAACATCAAACCAGGAAACAAAAAGGATTGTTTATAGTCAGGTTGAGGCCAACTGAACAGATGGTCAGATGGTATCCAGCAACAATACTGCCCATACGGAAACATTTTCAATTTCTGCCCATTAAAGTGATGTCCAGGCCCATTCTGAAATGCCAGAATGGTGTGGGAGGGAAAGGGAGTGATTAAACAAACTGAACTGCTTTGGGTTACCAGTCAAACCTCAGCTTCATTCCAGTTAACATCTTCCCACTAATCAGTGCAGACCCTCACTGCAGTTTGCTGCCAGCTTTTCTAATTGTCTCGTCAATCCTCACTGTTCCATTCAGCACACAAACACTGAACCATTTTCTAGACCTACCAGTTCCCTCAGGACATTTTTTTGTCCTCTTATTGTCTCCTATCTTTTTGATCTTTATTCTCTCATTTCAACTCTACACACCAAAACAAGAACAAAATACCGCAGTCCCTCCACCAATATCAGAGCTGTGACATCTCCTGAAGTAACATCTTAAGACAAGACACTTAGGCACTACCAAGTGATCTATGTTTTTTATTCATAAAAGTTTTAAAATTTACAACAGAGTGATATTATGCAGAAAAGAGAATAGCGAGGTAATTAATAGCTAGATAATAGCTAATACCTAGATAATTAAAATTTGTGGTTATTTCACAAGTATTTTAGAGGGAATATTATTTAAAGATTACTTAGAAGACTGTGAACATATTTTAGTCTATTTTCCTACAGCTCTATAAAATTCCTCCACTATTTATCTGCACTGGTCTGTTTGAAAGTCCAGTCCTTTTAGCAACTGCCTGGTACATTTCACTGTCCCCATGACTTCATTTCTGTTTCCAGCAAAGAGCAGCCCATGCTGCCAAATCTTGCAATTGTTTATGAGTGACAGTAGCCTGTTTGTAGCTACTGCCAGCAATGGCACAAGTGTCCAAATTGCAGAATCGGATGCTTTGCTGCAAACAGGACCCCTGATTAGTGCTTTCTGAGGCAGGATCCGGGCAGAAAAGCTGATGAGTTCTCTATAGCTCTCTTCAGAGGACAAAACAATCTCAAAGACATGAAGAAGACCAGCAGAGGAGGGTTAGCCACTCTTTTTGCTTGCAGTAAGCAACAGGATATTCTTTTGCTCCTCCCTCCAGCATTGCCCAGGGAGAGAACGAGGCAATGAAGAGCCACTCCAACAGTTTTCCCCAGCCTACAAAAAAATCTATCCCAGATGCACCTCCAACCTGAGAAGGTTTGAAAAACTTAAAACAAGAAGCAGCAAAAAAGTGCAGGGATTGGCACGCAGGGGAAGGAAAAGAAGAGAGGCCAGAAGGTGCAGACCAAATGCAGCCAATGGACAAAAAAGGGAATAGAGCAGTTAAGAGCTGCCACGTCCGGGACAAAAGTCACCTTCAACAATAAATCTGGGAGAGTAGGCAAAGTACACGATACTAGTCACCAAACAAGCAGATCGCAGAAATCGAGACAGCAAAACCCGACCCCCTCATAATCCTGCAGTATAATCCCTGCTTAGCAATTCTGTGATTCGGGGGAGCCTGGTCACGCTGAGAAACAATATGCTGTCTTCTACTTGCTCCTTGTGCCCTCCAAGGCCTGGAAACAAGCGGAAAAATGGTTCCCCCACACTTCTTCCCTTTGCGGCCTTCCGTGGTGGGGTTTTTAATGGGCTTCGCTCCTTTGGGGCTCCCAGCTCCCTCCAGGTCCTTCCCTGCCCCCGCTGCTCCTCGGGACTCCAGATACAACGGGCCCGGCAGTGACTCTCGGCATTTCCCGCGCTGTCCAACCCGTCCCCAACCCGCTGCGGCGACCCCAGGCAGGCGGCAGCTCCTCCGGCAGCGCGGGGAGACGGGAGGTGCGCGGGGAGC